TTTGAAATCCCACCTTGACAATTGAAAGACAAAATCGAGCAAGGCTCGTACAGCACACAGCTTCACACTTCTCAATACTTAGCAAGTATGACAATGACCCAGAGACCTCTAGAGTTGTACGTCCTTTACATAGAGCATTCACTATAGTCAGCCAACCACTGGGCCATTCCCTTGTTATACTAAATGGTGCTCAGCTTAGAGCATGTATATCCAAAGGCCTCCAATTGCTGCCATCTGTATGAGAGCTGCATCTCTATTATCGACACAAACACGGCCAATACAGGCAGAGAGGGCTGCTATTCACTGCCACGATCAACTCGAGACCCAATCACTGTCATAATGGTGATCTCAGTGGGGAGGACACTGATGACTGCTCCAGCCGGCTCTAGTGAATGCCACTTAATAAAGGCAATGATTTTATTCCTCCCCCAGCAGCAACATAAGTATCCACACTCCAGGTCCTACTCGCCATCCATCATCCTTGAATGGTGATAAGTGACAACAATTTCCTGCTATTCCCAGCCACGGAGCCAGAGCAAGGTAAGGCGCCAGCCGTAGATGATTATCTAGCCGTGCCACTTAAAATCATCATACAATTAGACACATCCCTCGAGTCTCCTGAGTTTCACTGAGAACGACAGAGGAATCAATAATGATGATGGGAAGTGCAGAGGAAAAGGCACAGTGAGAGAGGGCTGAGCTGGAGAGAATGAGGCCGACTGATTATGTGTCAGTCAAATACAGTGGTCAGCCTACTCATATGAGAGACACAGGGTACTTTCATTTCCCCTACTGGTTACATGAAAAGTAAACAGGCCTCCCACTATTGAAAAGGAAATACTTCCAGGACATTTTTAGTGACCTAGAAGCTATTGCATACTGTGTTTTTGTGGAAGTCATGCTACATTGCTATGCAATGAATAGGAAGGACAGGAAAACCTGGAAAAGTCATTACACTGACTTGGGAAAATTAGGAGGTCCAAGGTGCTGCAGTTAGACCCTCTAGTGTTTCTAGCCCAGAACACATAAACCAAACACTGGCTACGATAGGACCTTTTCGCCACTGTAGTTTTTCCTACACACTTGGCGGGCAAGCGGTATTCAGTTCACCACTAGATGCCACTGAATCCTACAAACTGGTCCTTTAAATAACATTTACAATATAGTTGTAAATGTTTGTTTGTTCCTTCCTTCAGCGCAACTTTTTTTAAAATTGTAATTTGTTCTATTTTATTTCCATTTAAAATCTTCGACCTTATATATTTGTGTGCAGCATGGAGGGGGATACAACTGCATTTCATTGCACAGTCCTTTATTGTATAATGTCAATAAAATTTACAATTTAAAATTTTTTGTAAATAGGAAGATATCGCAGCTTTAAGTTACAACTAGTAGACTGAAATCAACATTCTTTCCCACTGCTCAGAATTACGATCTAAGCAAAATTACTGAATGAATTTGTATACCATTAATGGAGACGCACTTTGATGTGTCAGGGTATACCACTGTGCTATTTCTCAGCCCAACCCAATACAATGAATGGGGATTGGGTCTGCCCTAGGGTTGGGCCCCAGTAGTTGCAGCTGGGAGATGAGTACACTATGTGCAACAAGCATTCATAGCTTTAATAGAGAAAATAAACTCACCAAATGTCAAGAAATGAAAAGAAAAACACCTATTTTTCACATTAAACAAAACAATACAAGCCTTACACCTTCCAAAAGATTCTCCATATTACCAAACTAAAACCTTGTTAACTCATCTTAAAACACACTTCATTTAAACTCAAAAACAAAATGAAACTCACCAAACCGTCTTTAATTAGTCAAATTAGTCTTTACACTGCCTTTCTAATGCCCCACCTCCCTCCCTCCTCTACCCACTCAATGCCTCTCCTCTCCTCTCTTCTCCTCTCCTCTCCTGTCCCTGCCATGTCTGCTGCCTCATCTTCCCCAGAGTTAGAGTCTTGGTTGGAGCCTCTGTGAATCACCTTGTAACTGTATTCCCTGCTGTCAAACTAGACAAAATAAACCCTTAATTCACTGCAGATAGATGTGAAAATAATGTAGTTCTCATTCTGGAGGCAGACCATTAAATTTGCAAAATAAAATTATAAAAATCTGCCAAAAAACACAACCAGCGATGATTTGTCCAAACCTAGTCTGACCTAGGCATTCTTAGATTTTTTGTGTCAGGCTTACAGAGCACAATCCATTTTCAGTCCCGTCAGTTTGCCTTTGGTATGCCAGCTGCCACAGACTCACCCTACTTTCCATTACAGCACTTCGAATCCAGAATGACCCATGAATGAATTGTGGAGTTCACAAATAAAAAATACCAGCCAGCAGTTCTAATTAACCTAATGATATGACAACATCCATGCAAACATACCTTATATAAAAAAATATTCTTATGAGTTCAATGCCACGAGGTATAGAGATTTTGGATTGGATTGGTACTTGCCATTAACAATACCCTGTGTTGATGTATCGTATCAGGAGAGAAAAGTTTGGATTGGTGCACTCCAATCATTTTCCAAGGCTTGGGAAGCTGCCTTTTTAGAGTGCCACATTATCCCAGAAGCGTGGGAACAGTGAGAAAATAAAAGGGAGGCGATCCTTTGTTGTAGAGGAGAAAGTGAACATAAATGAGATCTGCAGTAAAGTGTCTCAGATGCTAAGGTGAGGGGTCAGCTAATCTCAGAGACAACTTCTCTCTCGTATGATGGATGGATGTAACATTTCGAATGCTCGACTGTACATCTGGAGAGATGAGAAGATGAGAAGGGCCTAATTAAGATACAACCAAGCAGCTTGATAAACCTCTGTCATGATATCTGCTGCATTGGAAAGCACGTTTCAGCCCATTTCTCCTCTTGTTAATTAACAAGCAAGTTCAAGACCGCATGAAATTACAAAACAACCAAACAAAAAATGGAGCTTAACAAACAAGATTTTGACAGTTTCTGGACAGTCTGAGTACTTAAATTGGTGCTACATAAAATAATAATAATTACATCTGTCATGGAGACTATAGATTGTGCAGTGCAGCAGGTGACTGGTGAAAGGAAAACAACTAAACTGTAAAAACAGAACTCAAGCATGAAATCTGTGACCCATCTCTGCTCTCAATGGTAGAACAGCACCAGCAAAAAAAAAACCTCTGCCAACACACTGGTGTTTTCTCTAAACTGAGTAAAAAACAGAAATATTTTATATAACCTGAGCATCAATTACATAAACACTTGAAGATGTGCTGGAAACATTTCATGGTACTGAAATGAAATGAAAGCTCACAAACTCACACTCTTACACTGTAAGAGGGTGATGCACTGTTCCATTCCTAAACCTGTGTTTGACATTCTCTGATCTGCATGTACATAAGTGTAGAAAATAACTGATGCAGTGGTTCCCAACCTGGGGGTCAGGACCCCAACTTGGGGTCGCCAAAGCTTCATAGGGGGGCACAAGGCCTTCTTGATTTTAAGGGATGTAAAAAACTTATTATATATACATAAATATACACAGTAGGCTGGCAGCATTTCATTCATTTCTGTGAAGAAAACTAAATGAAACTGTTATTTCTAATGTTTAGATTACACTGTAAAACCAGATAAGTTCATTTAACTCCAGAAATTGTTGAAACTGATTACAATTTTTATAAGTAAAAAAATAAGATAAAATTCTTGATCAAGTTGCTTTAGTAATATTAAGTGACAATGACTTCATTTTTAAATTTGTATTTGTATTGTGAAAAAAATAGTAAAAAGTACTTAATCAAGAATGTTTAACTTACAAAGTTGAGTTTGTTTAACTTGCAAAATTGAAAACTTTCCATGTAAACAGTTCCAACAATATTTAAGTTAAAATAAATTGTGTATTATTTAATACCTAAACTTTGATGACCTCAACACAAGCTGTATTAGAACAATGGCTAAGTATCAAGAATAAACACTAAAGTGGTCAAAAAAGAAGCCTATTAAGTATGTATATTGTGAACTAATATTCCTCACACACCAGAAAAGACTTGTACAACAAACCCGCTAGACTCCTCTTTACTTAAAGTGGAAGGATCGGCTGGTATCAGAGCAGCAGTTGGGCTGTGGGTGCGCTAACCAGAGGTGGAATAAGGATAAAATCCTTTTCTGAAGTAAAAGTACTAATACCCCACTTTGAAAATACTTTAATACCAGCACAGTGAAAACACTTAGAGGAAACACTGAAACCAAATAGTTTTTCATTTTAAGAGGCCTGTCTTATTTTCTCTTTTCTATATTACTATTTCTCTTGAAATAAATTAAAAGTATTTCTTATCCAATCACTCAATTAAGTGATGTAATAATTGGCAGCTCTATTCTGATCATCATGTTATTTTAAAGAAGAGTCACAGCTCTGCCTCTGTGTGCTCGGTCCAACACATCCTGTGAATCCACTGTACAGACTGAATACAAGGGCTGGATGTATACATCTAAAAGCAGCAGCTAAAATTGTATTATTACAATTATATTGTAATCATATTTATACTATAATTCTGTATATTGTCAAAAATACAGTTGGGATACCATGATTATTGTTGCAACTAATAATTATTTTCATTATCTATTAATCTGTTGATAATTTCTTTGATTACTTGATTAGTTGTTTGGTCCATCAAATGTGAAAAAATGCTGATCAGTGTTTCCCAAAGCCCAGGGTGAGGTCCTCAAATGTCTTGTTTGGATCACAACCCAAAGATATTCAGTTTAATGTCATACAGGACAAAAGAAACCAGAAAATATTCATATTTGAGAAGCTGAAACCAGAGAATTTGGACTTAAACTTAAAAATAGGCTATATTTGTGTGCACTATTGTGCACACAACTATGCTCAGCCCAAAAATAAATAAATAAATAAAAAGGAAACCAATCAAATACCTTCCATGTCAACTCACTCACTGGTGAAGACATTCACTGTATAATAATGGAGAAATAAGACCATTAGATTAGAAGGCAGAAATCTTACTGATCAATCCGCTGAATGGGAAGTTGAAGCAAATCTTCAAGCTTATGGTTGTTGAACTCCGGTCGGGCTTCCTGTAGCGTCTTAAAACGTCTGAAGGCCTTGTTTTTCTTCAGCTGGATCTAAGACCACACACAGATCATTGTTAAATTATTTTCAGACCCATACAGGCACATTTACAAGACACAACTGTGTGCTTTGCAAAGTGACATTTTTCTGAGGTACGGTAAGGTTTTTCCCAAGATCTTATATAATGTTGGGATTATATTGGGAACAAAATCTCTGATTAGCACATGCAATATTAAATTCACCCTCCCTATCCATGAGAAGGGCTTAACATAACAGATTTCCCCTTTTCTCACCCAAATGCTCCTTGTGCCTTTGGCCAACAATATACTAAAAGAAAATGTCCTGTATACACTGCAGTGTTAGTCTCGACATAATAATAAATACACTTCATGTATTACACCTTGTTTTATGACAGTAAGACACTCTGACTGGTAACTAATCAACAAGAACATAACATGCTATTGGCCTGAATACATGTGTCTTATTCCAAGCATCCGGATTCACTGTTAGCTATCTATATGTTTTCTTATACTAATAGCATTTGCATGCAGCTTGTAGAACTGATGATGGACATGTCACAACCAGCGACGACCCCTGAATTTCATGTCACTTTCTAGATGCGCACTCTGCCTGAGAAACCCAAAAATCATCTTGTTGTCACTCATTATGCTGAGGTATGAGGCAGTATGAGGAGGTGGAGCGGGAGGTAAGGCTGTAGATGTCATTAAATATGCATTTGCACATCATGTCAGCATGAGTATGTGTCAACATTTGGATGACAAAAAGCCTTATCTTGTCATTTCCGTCAATCACCAAAATAAGCATTTCCGCTGTACTTAAATAGACCTGGAGAGAGCCTTCTTCACAGCAACAGTCAGTGGTAATATTATATAGAATTAAAGAGCTTTGTTAACTGTGTTTCTGACCTCAAAATCAATAATCAAATCTGAAATGGTTATTGTTTTACTTGTTGTATTACTATGTATATGTAGAGTATTTTATGTAAAGCCTGATATACAGATAAGAACTATATTCATCCCTAGGGAAATTACTGTGCAGCAGTTGCAGTACAAAGTAGGAAGGGTGCAAATATATAGCGTGAAAATATGAAATAATATCTTGTATATATAAGATGCACATCCAAAATACCAGAAATGTAAATAGGTGAGATGTAGGGATCATAAAAATATCAACTGGTGAACGGTAAGTTGCAGATCTAAGATATACACGATGTCAAAAAGGTTGATCACTGCAGTCACCTGAGGGAACTAGCACACGTACACTACAACACAAAATGAAATTTGAAATTTGAAATTTGTCAGGGTTTAGTGATTTGATAATAATTTAAAAAAATTATTAAGAGGATTAGTTAAATTTTTTTTTTTAAATGCTCATTTGCTTTCTTCTGAGACTGGGATGAATAACACTGATAAACTCATGTCTGTGTGTCAAAATCTGCCCTGCCATAAAGTTCGATTTGGCCGGCAGATCATCATCAGTTCATGTCTTGCAAGAATTGTTAAAAAATTATGGTTCTTTATGCTGTTTAATTTTTGTGAGGCAACAATGCACAGGAAGTCAGTCAACTAAGGGAACTTGGGATCCTAGTATAATTTTGCATCTTAATAACATAATACAATAGGTGTTTGCTTTTGGCCCATAACCCACCATTAAGCATTGGCCCTCCAAGGGATATGATTTGGTTGCCCCAGCCCTATAGCAGAGATGGGACAATAAAAATATTATACACAAAAAGTGTATATACTTTAATTCATAGTTTTATATCTTCTAATATTAATAATATTAGTAATATTTTTATTGTGATATTCTTTCTTTGTTTTTGCACTATTTTGCCCTATTGCTGCTGTGTCAACCTGAATTTCTCCTAAGGGGGATAAATAAAGGAATATCTTATCTTATCTTATATACGATATTATTGTGTATCACGATAAAAACACTAAATCCATCACAGTGAATTTTCATTATCGTGATAATAAGGAATCAGGATCATATTGAATATCCTCACATGGCTTGACTTGAAAAATCTGTCTAGCTCACTAACATACAGTCCTATATTGATTGAACAAGGGGACAAGAGGGAGCCTGCAGCTTTCCAGTTACTCCAAAATCCTAAACCTGTCACCAACCTGTCACCAAGGCTGGTCAGGTTTGCCCGTTGTATCACCCACAAAAAAGTTAAACTGGATGTGTGGAAATGGTATGGATTCCAAAATAGAGAACAGGGAGATGAGGTTCAATTAATTGAACATTGGTAAAATCTAATTCTAGGGCAGCACAATTAATTGAAATATTATTGAATGTATAATGTCGCCAAATGCAATATCCAAATTGCAGAGGCTGCAGTCTTTTGATCAAGTAAGGTAAAATGTGTGACAAACAGTTAAAGTAAGGAAGTAGTGTAGAGATGCCCTGATCTACAAATCTTATTGATTCAAGCAAATGTGTTTGTTTGGTACTGGCCCCCAAGAAATGTTATGTTAATAATTTTTTTCAGTGAAAATTAAATGATGAGATCATAAATGATCATTCCAACACTAATCGTTACATAACAGCGTTGCCATGGAAGTGCTGGCATCACTGACAGTGGTGGAAGAGATTGTGTCAGCAATAAAGAATACAGTAACTACACTTATGCACGTGCTATTGTCCATTCAGTCCAATAACTGGAATACATTGGCCAATTTTCCCTCAGGAATTATTAAAATTTAATCATATCTCATGTAATAAACAGCTTGTGAAAGTGCATCAAGAGGTGTGGTAACCATGTGGAAATGCTGTGTTCCTACCCCAAGCACTTTGCTGGCATTATAGATGTTGTCCACATACATGTTGTAGTGGTGCAGATGTGGACAGAACTGGTCGAAGCCTCGGCCAAAGTAGTCATTCTCCAAGTGGACCAGCAGAGATCTGCAAAAAGACAGGTTAGATATAATCAAACACAAAAAGTACTGAGGCTGAATGACTCATTTCAAATCCGAAATCGCGATTGCGAGTGCAATTTTCAAATCTCAAGAGGTGAAATTTTAATTATAAACTTACATAATTAGCTGTGTCTTAACAAGCTGTACAAGATGAAAGGTTTAGGCCAGCTATAGTGGCAACTCAGCTGTGATTAATTAACGTTAATTCTGAGAGTTGGCTAAACAACAAAAAAAAACTCTCAGCTGTTGTCTGGTTAATATGATTTCTGCATGCAGCTATTTTGGCAAAGTTAAAGAGGATTTTCATCAAAGAAACACATCACTCTGTGAAATTGTATTGTTTGAAAAAGTAGTCAGTGTGCTTTGTCGTCTTGCTGTTCAAAAACACCTTATCATTTATCGAGCTAGCACTGCATAAATGATTATGAACAATACTGTTTGTATTGTATAATGTTCAATACTGATACCAATATCGGAAATTCATCCAATATCGGGTATCAGCAAGTACAGGTCTGTGCACTGATCCAGTACGACTGGCAAATTAAATGGGACCCTGCTCCTTCCCAGCAGTATCCCGTTTCATTTGCCATGTTTAGTCCGTGGTACTCTGACTCTGACAATACAGGAAGTCACACAAATGTTAACATCCTGTTAAATCATCTGTACGCTACCTGTAGTTAGCAGACATGTTTTTTAACAGATTAAACCTTCATTGCACAACATGAAACAGCTGACAATCTAGAGTTAAATAATAAAACCACACAGAAAATTAGGAAAACGTGGTGCTTGTTGTCAAAACTACGAGCCAATCAGCTCTTTGATCAAGCGACAGCCAGGCATTATCATACCATGAGTCTTGCAGTCGGTGGAATTAGATTTCAGTTAGATTTGGTTAGATCAGAGCTAAGGAATATTAAATCCTCAGTGTTTACTCACTACATATCAGCCTTTCTCACCCTCAGGTGTGTAAAAACTACAGGTTATATACAAAAATGTGAAATGATCAGTTAAATGAAAACAAACAACAAAAAAATATTGTGCACCCCTACAATTTGCAACTAAATCAAATACACCATACATTTGTAGAAACCTCTGACCTAGCCATTTTAATTCATAGGGTCACTGTCACTCATTTTCAGGGCACGCACACAAGCAACAATCATTACTGAGTCACAACAACACCCTTAGCTTCAACACAGAACATGGCAGAAGTAACTATTTCAATGTGTGGCATATTTTTTTGTGCATCACAGACCTTTGACATGTTCATTTCAAAGTGTCCCCCAGTGAGCATTTAGCCTCCAGTCAAACCACATTGGACTTTGAGTTAATGCACATTACTGCCTGAGAATGCACTGCTGCTCTGCATCAGTGAAAAGAAGGAGCTCAAACAAGGCGAGATCACATCTGAAGCATCATTGTCAGCAAAGGCACACATGTTTAGAGAAAGTGTGGAGGTTGAGCAAAGTTCAGAGAATTGCTTCCCCGTTAATGGGAGGTTTAGCAGGCAAGGCTCTGTAGTGTCATTTGAAGGCCTCTCCCTGTGGGTGACGTATTTACTGGGACCCAGACGGTGGGGTCTACCTTCAGGGCACCCAGGGCCACTTTGTAGTGAGAACACGCCCGCTGAACTGAGGAACAAAACAACTGGATCAAGGCTGAGGCAAAGCAGTCGTTCAGCCTGTCAGGCACATTACAGTAACACGGACGCAATTGGTTGGGGGTGTTGACACTTGTGAAGGAGCTTGTTATCCAAACTTAGAGGAAGTACCACACACACACACACACACACACACACACACACACACATACACTCCTACTCTCTAATGATGTTCCCAGAGACTTCTGTTCGTACATTCTGTAAGAAGGAGCACTTTGCTGTTGAAGTTGATTTAAATAGATTTTAATGAAGTTGTGTGCCAAGGTAGCCTCTGTTCATAATCAGGAGATGCAGGAGCAGCCGAGAGAGTTCTAACGAGGGCAAAGGGCGGGAAAAACTGTGTTTCCGTTTTTTTCCCCTCTCACTGCCAGAGGCTATTATGATAAATATGAAATTATGGATTACATTTTTTATACTTTTTTCACAGCAATTAAATTGTCTGGCCATCAGCAGCAGGATGGAGACATTAGCATTCCGTGTGTGTCATGTTAATCCACATTAATTCCGAGCAGTTGCGACATCTGGGGCGGATACAACCTCAACCAAACAATTCAGGCCGAGGCGCCTTCATTTGGGGAAGGCTTAAACAGAGGAATACTAATTGTTACAACACATTGCGAGCATCTGCTAAACAGAAATGGCTACTTAGTAAATACGTAAACATAACCATAAATCACTGATAAGAATATAAAGCAAGAGAGCACCACGTTGTGCTGGTGACTCGTGTCACTCAATGATGATCTACCTCTCAGACTACACCTATTTCCCCCCCTCCCCCGCTCTTTCAAGTTGTTGATTCTTGCTTGTCATGTTAGCAGCTGGGGATAATTGGTTTCTCCTTCTGTCGCCTGCTCTCTGTTCTCCATAAACAGTCAGAAGCTGAATGAATGGCACTGCATATCAATATATTCACGTCTCCTTTTCTTATGTAACTCAACAAAGCTTAATGAAGGCAGAATTCATTACTACTATTCCCACCGCACTTTGGAGTTAAGTAAATAAAGACAGAAACATCAGATGAATGTACCTCTGCTCTGCGCACACTGACACACTTGTATTACTATTAGAGAAGCATTAGGCTGTGCAGAGCTGACAAGCAAGACTCTCACAGAAGGTTCCTGCCATTGAAGTGGTTTCTTGCTGCTTTGTGAGGATCAACAACTCATCTTAGGAATCAGTGCCCAACTGCAAAAATCATCTTATGAAAATATTCCTCTAAGTGTTTCTCTGATGAACCAAGGTAGATTCTCTAGCACGTCTGGGATCTTTCAGAATCATTCACCATCCAACCAGAATTAAATGGGAGGTTATTAGGGCTGCCCAATTAATGAAATATTAATTGCGATCACGATTTTGGCTTCCCACAGTTGCACAGTGAACTTGATCGTCTGTGACACTGATGTTTAAAATGCTCAGTTCATAGAAAACTGCTGAATATGAAATCAAGTGCATCCTAAACTAACAGCCAGTCACCACAGGGGATCAAGACATTCTGGTTTTGGGGAACCGTCATGTCGCTGCACGCACACACAGCAGCGGTCTGTAATCAGGAAATAATCATCATGTCAACATTGATGAAAATAATCGGGATTATCATTTTGCACATCGTCACCTGCTTGTTCAGCTTTCCATATGTGTCCTGTTTTCCATTTACATTTCTTAGTATTTTACATTTGTTGCATTAATCTTTTAAAAATCTATAGTATTTTTAAAATTTTAATACAATATGCCCTGAATGGCTGAAACACGTACGCATGCACTTTTTAAATCACTACCTTCTTTAGTTCCTCAGATTTCGTCAGCAGTTCTAAACTAGTAGGATCCCCAAACTGAAGAGCCCTGGACCTTTGGTCACACCCAAACAGCATGCAACATGCAGATATGTTTTGTGACTGAACATTTGAATACATTTTGATTTTACATTTTGTCCCTTGACTGTAGTGCCACCGAGGATGTTATTCTACTGGGCCCTACATGGTACCTGGCCATCTTCAAGGAGGGAAATAATGATGAAAAGAAGAACAAGAAGCAGAAAAATTAAACTCAGAATTGCTAAACAGCAATCTTGGTGCGTGGCCTCCAAAAGGTAGTGGCTCTATTGACTTTCCTTGAAAAGTAATCTTACCAGTGTGCTGCTGTTTGTAAATGGACCTGTACTTGTATAGCGCCTTTCTAGTCTTCCGACCACTCAAAGCACTTTTACACTACGTGCCACATTCACCCTTTCACACACATTTACACAGTGATGGCAAAGCCCGTCAAACAGAAACTAACACATTCATACACATTCACACACCGATGCACAGCATCGGGAGCAATTTGGGGTTCAGTATCTTGCTCAAGGATACTTCGACACGTGGCGGGAGGAGCCAGGGATCGAACCATCAACCTTCCGACTAGTGGATGACCCGCTCTGCTTCTGAGCCACAGCCGCCCTAACTGTGCTAACTGTACTACTGTACTAGCTGCCATTAGCTTCTTAGTGGTCCTATCACTGACAGTATGTATAATGGACAGAGCTTCCAGGTCTGTGAAGTGAAGCAAATGTGAATGTCTTAAAGCTGCATTCTGTGTAATGGCCAGCAGGGGTCAGCTCCATTGGCTGCAATAAACAACAGATAGCATGCAGTTGCACAGAGATATGAGCCTACTTCTCACTTGATTTATTATCTCAGTAAACAGTTTCCTAATGAGTTTATGGTCTCAATCTCTAGTTTCAGTCTTCTTCCATACAGCATGATTGATCAACGATTGATTGATAAATTATGGTCCCATTTAGAGTAAAATAGACCATAAAGCAGGTTATGCTTGAGGGCGTGGCTACCTTGTGATTGACAAGATATTCTCAGTGGGTCTGTCCAGTGCAGTGCCCGAAACTCAGATCAAACTGATCAAGTATGAATCAAGATTCTGTTACTGTGTTGTCTATTTCTCACCTAAGAATGAAACATATTTTAGTGTACTATTTGTCTGGAATACAAGATTGTGTGTGACCAGGAGGGCCACAATGTTTCCTGTAACGGAAGAGTCCATACTGAGTAGCCAATGAGAGCCTAACCAGACCTTCAATAACAGTGAATGGTGTTATGAACACGTGGGTCATTACCACAAGAATATTTTGGTAGGTTTGATACCCTGCCCTTCATTTGACTAAGACAGAACGGTTGCCAACAATAGTGAGCCTGTTTAATGCATACAGACTTACAGTAATTGATGTTTGTGTGTGACAGATAAATGAGAAAGTCACCTATATATCCATTTATGAGAGCTAATTATCACCACTGTAATTATCAATATTTCTCGGCACTGTCATACAGATATTCAATGCGTAAACCGAATGTCAGAGTGAAAGAAAGTGATAGGAATGCGGAAAAATCTATAATCAATCATTTGGCAATAGTAAATCAGTCTAGCACAAACACACTGTCTTTCCATGGACCATTTTTTAAATGGAGTGCTTGCCATTATGTTTCAACCATTGATTCAATAAGGGGCTCATAATGAAGATGTATGGGAACTACGGAACCATTTATCCAATACATCAGACTGTGTAATTCATACTTCAATCTTCATTGTAGCACTCTCAACAAGAAAGCCTGTCAGTCTGCAGAGGATTAGAGCCTGAGGGAAACCGCACCACTCATTATTTAGTCTGGAAATGGAATTCCCAATCAAAGGTATCCGAACCACTCACTCTATAGTTTGTCAAGCTGTGCAGTCTGATGCTGAACTCTGTATGATTTGTCCTGTGTTCACACTGTAGACAAATCGGGTGAGTTCCTCATATTTAGAAGCTAATCGTCCACATTGTTCTCTGCAAATGAGTGTGTCTATACTAAATAATTATTATGTTGGTTATCTGACTGCTGTTGTGCTTTGAAGAGGCCGAAGAGAGTGACTTGGGCCAGGGTTAGGTCCGTGTATGTTTTGGTCATTGGATTTTCCTTTCAGAAACGGGTAATAAAAAACAGAAAACGAGTGGTTATTTGCTTGGTACAGTAAAAATGCTTGATATTAAGTATGTTTGTAGTCTCATATGTGTAAAAGTCAAATATACCATCAGTAGCCAGGAAACACTGAGCAATATGTTTTTACAGTACCTCAAATATGGTCAAATATGCAATCTCTGGAGGCATAAATATGAGACTTTTATTTTGGCATTTCTCCACACTGGTGCAGTAAAGATACTTGATATAAAGTGTTTTTTTATTCATCAGGGGCACACAACACTTTAATGTAACATATTTTAATTATAGCTTACGGCTCTAAATACCTTTATTTTGAAAACCGGAAGTAAATACACTGTTTCTCCGCATTTACCATAATGCTGAGAATACTTGTACACTCTAAATTTAAGTGCGGCTGATTTGACCACGGAGATCGGACTCACGGCTGGATTGACCGCAGTCTACTAGCCTACTGTTTCTTCTCCACAGCACCGTCCTGTAAATGACAACATCCAGTCTCAGAATATGAAACAACAGGCCTTTTCTCCGTTTCTGTTTTCTAGTGATTTTATTTTTTGTTATATGAAATAGAAAATGAAAATCGAATATTTTCTTTAATTTCGCTCATCCCTTTTTGACCATGAAACAGAAAAACGCCTTATATTTCAATTTTAATTTTTGTATTTTAAAACGAAAATCACATAACCACTCGTTTTCTGTTTTTTAATACCCGTTTCTGAAAGGAAAATCCAATGACCAAAACATACACGGACCGTAGAAGAAACAGTAGGCTAGTAGACTGTGGTCAATCCAGCCGTGAGTCCGATCTCCGTGGTCAAAACAGCCGCACTTAAATTTAGAGTGTACAAGTATTCTCAGCATTATGGTAAACGCGGAGAAACAGTGTATTTACTTCCGGTTTTCAAAATAAAGGTATTTAGAACAGTAAGCTATAATTAAAATATCCCTTTAGATATCCCTTTCTGACAATGAAAAAGAAAAACGCCTTGTATTTCAATTTGAATTTTTGTATTTTAAAACGAAAATCAAATAACCACTCGTTTTCAGTTTTTTAATACCCGTTTCTGAAAGGAAAATCCAATGACCAAAACACACACGGACCGGGTTACAACAAACTAATCATTCGCACCCAACATATGTCCGCAGGCCAAATTTCAAGAGGCATGCACCAGGTCAACATGCCGGCCACAATTCCATAATTGTGGAGATTTATGGCTGTGTATGCATGTTTGTGAAGCACAGCGCTAGAAGCATTCAACAAGCCTACAGTTTTCAGACTTTTTTTGTTTGTCTAGAAGACAGAATTATTACAGGCTGGTACCAAATGATAGTACAATTAAGGCACTATATTAGGGATCGACTGATATGGGGTTTTAACGGTCTATACAGATACTCATTATCAGTAATCAAGGAAACCAATAACCAATATTTGGAACCGTTAACAACGCTAAATCTTGTGGGATGTACATTTATTCAAGTACTGTATTTAAGTTGAGGTAATTGTACTTTATTTGAGTATTTGCATTTTATGCTAAGGCTGCATGATATGGTAAAAATACCATATTGCCATTATTTTTGACATATATTGTGATTGCAATATGATCATTTTTGCATGACAAATTAATTTTTCACTGACAAAACTATTAAAAACTATGTGAGAAATGTTTTTTTTTTTTGGGGGGGGGGGTCTATACCAAACAAACATGTTAACTTTAATCTGGAGGAGAAGATTTGTAGACCAATGCATCTCTGCAGCACTACAGTCTTCATTATAATGCTGTTTGTCACACATTTTACCCTTATTAAAATATTGCAGCTCTTGCGATTTGCATGTTGCACTTGGACATATTGCAATTTCAATAACATTTTGATTAATTGTGCAGTCCTATTTTATTATGCTGCTTTATACTTATACTCCACTACATCTTGGACGCAAATATTGTACTTTTTACTCCTCTATGTTTATTTGATGACTTTAATTACTTTACCAATTATTAACACTAAATATAAAATAAATCAACAAATGAATTATCTTTGTCATGTTGTCTGAAACTTTCACTATATCTTGACAGTAGAACATGAGACAGATGATCTATGAAAAAATCATGTTCCTCTGACTCCTCCTAGTGCTTCTAATGGCATTTGCAAGAATCCACCAGGCCTGAACAAAAACAACCAATCAGAGCCGAGAAAGATAGAAAGACCCTTTGGGCTGGAGGCTTGAAGATAGCTGATTGTTGAGTCTCATTCCCAGTGTTGGTATTTTACGACCTGGGAATGAGACAATAAGAGATAATCAAGTATCTATCTCGGCTGTGATTGGTTGTTTTCGTTCAGGCCTGGTGGATACTTGCAAATGCCATTAGTAGCACTAGGAGGAGTCAGAGGAACATGATTTTTTCATAGATCATCTGTTTCATGTTCTACAGCACTGGGGGAGTTTAAGCTACCTAGCAGTACATAAAGTAAATAAAATTAGCTCACCTTCACCAGCTACAACATTCAAGTGCTGAACACATTAAAGCATCAATAATTATTATCCAATTCTTTACTTAAGAAAGATTTTGAATACAGGACTTTTACTTAAGAAAGATTTTGAATACAGGACTTTTACTTTTTTTACACTGTGGTATTGCTACTTTTACGTAAAAGAGTACCTTAAGCTTGTGTTTCATTAAATTCTGCAAAGGAAAACTTTTTAACATTATCTTAACCAAATATTACTCTACTATTACTTGTAACCAGTCATAGTGATGTGGGCGGGGCATTGAGAGAGACTACAGAGTGGTGACTACAGACAGAGAGAGGCAGATGGATCAGAGCCAAAGTAGCTCATTTAAAAAAAAATATTTATTTCATCGGCAATCAGATATAAAATAATGATACCGATCATCAGAAAATGTCTAGGTCTATCCCTACTGTAGATTTTGTCACATTTAAGATTGGTAAAATGCTTCAGAGGTAGTGAGGATACTGAATATTGTTACTTTTATCATAGAAATGATCAAAGTATAACTCCTACCACTTCAAAACAAAAATAACAGTTTTTGGTATCAGCTTTCAAAAACCCACCATGAGCCCTATTTTTCTTCTTTATTGATTTATGGATACCATAGCTGAATCAAGTGCCTTAGCATGTACACATGTACTGACTTCAAACATCAACCTTTTATTTATGTAACTAAACTTTTTGAAGTCTTTCAAGTGCTCTTGGAGGTTTTAGTTCTACAGCAGCAGATCAATCTAACGTCCAGAGATGTGGTGAGATCACCTTCTCTCGGCTCTGACTTCCCCCCTAAAGATCTTCAAGAGCAGGTCAGGCACACAACGAGTCATGAATTTTCTATGGCAACAATAATGCTCTTTGATATCACCAGGAGTAATTATACCTGATATGCATTAATGTGTCCATTAGGGAAGAGGGCACCTCTACACTGCAGTGCAATGTTGTTGAGTCCTGCTAATGGAGAAGATAAGGACTTGCTTTGGTAAAGTAAGAGTTTATCTAGACAAACTACTAATCCTCTTCTCTTTACACTGTTTCTCACCGCCATCTTAAAAGCATAGCTATTCTTTCAATTATTCAGAGCATACTTACTGGTTTACTGAATGAATGGCTTTAATTGAACTGAAGATGCTTTCTCTAATGTCCTGCCTCAGGGTTCCTTTGGCCTTCAAGATCTCCACAAAGTACTGTGAGAAACAAGAGAGCAGAGAGATAAAATGACATTATTTCTCAGCATTTGTATTGATAAGCCAGACCTGGGCTGTCTCTGATTGGATATGCCTTTGATAAGTGGAAATATTTTTAGATAAGGACATCCAGTCACTGCTGACAACACAAAACCTTCACGACCTTAACAACAGGGACTAGAGGTTGGTAGTTTTTTGCCCTACAGCTTAGACTGACTGTTAATGTTATATGGTACAGTGTGTCTGCATGGCTCAGATAAAGCACAAGTATAGAGGGATGTACCACACAACGCTCACAATAAAGTGACAGCTGTGCTGGTCTCAAGTCATTTGAAGTGAAAATGGGATTAGCAAATTGAATGTGCATTAGGGCTAAAAATGACTCCTAATTGGAGTGAACGGGTGGAGGGTGAGTAATTGTGTAGAAATGAGGCTGCAGCAGTAGGTGGAAAAGTCTGTTCTCTCCACGGGGAGGAAGAGTACCATGAATGCTACCCTTTGTTCTGTTAATATGTACCGTACAGTAAGTGCACTTAATATTTTAATGTACAGTGATGGCTGTATGCTAAACCTTTTGCCTCTGAGAATGTTTAGCTTGGAGACTTTGTCTTTATTTGCTGTACATTTATATTAGTCAAATGCACTTTTAAAAGGTCGATATATCCAAATTAAGAAAAAAAAATTTCCCCTGTAGTGGTATCTTGCCACCCAGATAATTTGGTAAATTTAAATGACACGTCTTTCTCTTCAGACAGACTTGAATGTCAGCATTTTTTCCCATCACTATTAGGGCTGTGTATTTATATCTGGCAATACAATATGTATCACAATTCACTACATTGTAATAAACTGTAAACAAGGCAATGCGCATTACCGCTTTTTCTGTTAACATTTAACAGGTAAAAATATAGATACATATGTATTGAAATAACTAAATTAATATCTAACTCTATCTAACTAATGGAAAATCTTGAGTTAGAGACAGCCATACTTTTTTCATGTAGTCAGAACAGTGAAAAAAAACGTATTTGTATTTATTACAGTCCCTGTAACATCCAACATCATAGCCCTCAGTTTACAGCACCGCTATCTAGCAGTTGAGGGTTTAAACACAAAAACTGATGTGGTGGTTTTGAGAATCGATACAATTTCACAAAACATTTTACAATATTGTATTATACCCCTATTAACTCTTCCTTTATTAGACAGTAGTTTAATTCAAACAGGTCAATGGAACTTGAAATAAACTCCCTTTGGTCTCTGTTGAGTAAAATGTGGTTCAGCTGGTGATTATGAAACTGTCTTCAGTCTAGTGTCTGACTGCAGTGAATGAGTGAGTTTTTTCTCACACACAGCATCAGAATGTGACTTATTTTGCTGTTTGTGTATACCTTACTTGTAGAAACTCTTAAGGTTTCCTTTCATGACCCCAAAACAGACGTACCACACAACTCATCAATTATGTTGCCAAATGCTAAGCTGACCCTGACACATAATTTAATTACAAGATGTTGGCTGAAAACATTAGCTCACTCAATAAATAAATGGCCTTTACTGCGTGATGTATGCTACTCATTTTTCCTGAAGCTTAATGTACATGAAAGCGTAATCATTTTGTCTGATGTTAGCAGAGGCCTTCCTCATTTTATGATAATTGGTATGCTTACACATCAATACACTGGAGCAATCACTACAGATATGTGAAAGCCTGGACAAATAAAACCAAAATGATTTTCATGAATAGATATTACTAAGTAAGTAGGAAAATGGGGAAGCCTGGAGGCGGGTGATTGTGAGGAACTGCCTGCACAATCTACAGTGATACTTTGCTGTAGGACCAGCTTCTCTTGTCATGGATTTGCCATCACAAAACCCATATACAACCATAGGGTGATTCATGAGCATACTTGGTACCAAGCCAAGTTTCTTCAATACATATTTAATATATACATACACCGATAAGCCATAACTTATCATGACTACTGACAGGTGAAACGAATAACACTGATTATCTGGTTATCATGGCGACTTTGACAAGGGCCAATTTGTGATGGCTAGACGACTGGGTCAGAGCATCTCCAAAACTGCAGCTCTTGTGGGTTGTCTGCAGTGGTCAGTACCTATCAAAAGCGGTGAACCAAAGGGGGGCCAAGGCTCATTGATGCACGTGGGGAGCGAAGGCTGGCCCATGTGGTCCGATCCAACAGACGACCTACTGTAGCTCAAACTGCTGAAAAAGTTAATGCAACAGTTTGTTGTGTATGGGGCTGCATAACATTATTACCACCAGCGTGCCCAGGCAGTCATAATGTTATGGCTCGTGTTTATTAATTATAGTATATGGGCAAAATTAAGGGAGAGAAGTTAAATTAGCCCAAACTGGCCCGACAGGCTTGCTCTATTATTTGTTATCTACACGTCTTTAGGCCCTTAGCTCTTTCAGCTTCCAGCGGGTTAAAGCAGTAGTGTTCCTACAGTACGTACAGTGGTGACCAGCTCCAGCTGTTGGCAGTAGCGTTGTTCTGTCTGCACCAGCTCTCTGGCTGTCCGGCTGCGTTTTCTCTCCCAGCGTTCCCTCTGCTCCTGGATACTGGTGCATCCGAAGGGACCGGGCGGACAGGGGAAGAAACTCATGATCACAGTGATGAGGAGGAGGACACTGCAGAGACACAAGCAACTGGCTCTTACCCTTTTTCACAAAAACAACAAATGTTTTCTGTGATATGAATCTTGCCTTTCATTTATTTACACAACAACTCAATCAGACCAAACCAAATTATCAACAAGCAACCAAAACACAAAGTAAATTACAATGTTATCTGACCCTAAAAAGAGAATTCACACTGGCAAATTACCTGACCACAATAAAATGTCCTAAATTAAGAAAAATGTTGACAATGTACAGACTGAGTGAACACAGCCTGGCCATAGAAAAGGGTCGCCACAGACAGAACTGGCTACCAGAAGAGGAGAGACTCTGCTCCCAGTGTGACAGAGGACAGGTAGAGACAGAGCTGCACTTTCTAATCTCGTGCCCTAAATATAAAATCTTGAGACAAAAACACTTCCCAAACATTTCCCAAATATACCCCGAATTCGAATTTATATCAGACACACAGAAACTCCCCTATTTACTGGGAGAAATGCCAAAAAGTCAAATTATTGCAGCAAAATATGTCTCCTCATGCCACGAACTGAGGACAACCAGTGGAAACTCAGACAAATGTATAAAATAATTTATTGTTTTAGTTGTTGTTGTTTTTTTTTTTGTAATATATATATATATATATATATATATACACACTACTCACAAAAAGTTAGGGATATTCCACTTTCGGGTGAAATTTATGGAAAATGTAAAAAGTTGATGCTACAGTGATATTATATCATGAAAGTAGGGCATTTAAGTAAAAGATTAAGATCACCTGGAAAGGTTATAGTGCATTTTATGTACATTCTGAAATTTCATTCAAAAGCCGAATATCCCTACCTTTTTGTGAGTAGTGTATATATACACACACACACACACACACGTTTACAGTTTTATCTATCTATTTTATTTTAATTTTAATATATTTTAATATTATATATTATAGTTAATAATTTGTTATTACTGTAATATTGACAACAGACTACTTGTTTTAACTGTAGCCTGTTACTTTACTACTGTTTTAATGACATTTTTAGTTAACACAAACTGATTGATTCATTGTAATTAATTACTTATTGACTGAGATTGATTGATTGTGACTGTGATTGTGATTGAGTCAATCATAGTTACAGTATTACCAACAGTATAGATTATAATTAATTTATTGTAAATATTGTTTTCCTTTATTGTTATTATTATTATATATAAATCCAAATGCTTGATTTTGCAATATGTACAGCGTTACATCATGCCAATAAAGCTATTTGAATTGAATTGAATTGATGCATTTTAAATTTGTATTTTAATTTTCTGTTATGAATTGGCGCTATACAAATTAAATTGAATTGAATTGAACTGAATAGTTCCAGTGAAACTGTTTGTTCTAAATGAATGCGCTGATTGAACAAAATCTGAATAGGTTATAAATTATAATTATATAAGTTATAGGTTTTCAAATGCTGACTGATTGAGTACTTTAGAATGTACTTTAGAAATCACCACATGCAGTCATACACAATGTTGATGCTCACTATATTTGCAAAATGAATAATGACAAGCTCTCTCAAACACCGGTCTGTCCCTTAGCCAGCTGTGGTAATCATCAAACCCTCCCCCAGCTGACCTGCAGCCACGGAGGAGCGGTGTCCTCCTTGCATTCCCTCATTAGTGTCATCTCCTTTGTATTAGTAGAGTGAGGAGTGGGCAGAGAGCAGAGCTTTAGCAGCAATTAACCCCTGTACTGTCCCTAAGGATCCCTGCACTGTAAACAAGAGAGAGTGATCAATGCTAACCAGGATACACCTCTCCCACAGGGAGACATCATGGGCCTCACTGTGACTGGATGATGAGCTGAACTACAGTCCAACATACACTTTTTTCTTTCTTGGAGTATTAATTTATTGTTTTATTATTCATTGTTAAACATATAAAGTAATTACATCAAATTAATCTATTGTATTTCTATTCCTATGTTGATATATAAGTTAATAACCATAGTGGAAAGGCACCCACACCCGTACTGGAGGTAGAAAAAAGCACAACAATGTCTTTTATATTCTCCAAGGTCTCGAAATGGATTTTTGCATAAAAATTACTGCTTAAGTGAGAGTGCAAAGGATGCTGTAATAAATATTTTTGTATAGGTATTTTTATGTACATGAGGTAGATGGATGTGACAGTATTTACAGTATGCATCATGCATCATATGCACATGCATGTGTTTTTAGTGATGATATTTATGTGTTTTAAAAAGAAAACTGAATTTCAACAATGAAAATAAACTAGGTACAGTAGTTTTTTCTTTTACATTCTCAAAGTTTATCCATCTCTAACCCACATAGTACAGTAGACTTGCTGTGGACATTGTGAGCAGTGTTTATTTAAGCTGATACAACTAGGAAACATGTTGCATACTTGATTGCCATCACAAAATCAGTGTGGACACATCTACTATGAAGTAATCGCGGTTACTTGTGCAGTAACTGGAGTTATATCAGCTAACAAGCTTATCTCCATATTTCCAAAAAATGTTATTAAAACTAAAACTTTAAGTGCTCAGAAAAACTGAAATTTGATTCCAGTTTGATATGGCTGAAAGCTCCTGAGCTGCTACTAAATGGACCCTAAGGTGAGATTGTTCTGTCAACTATTGTAGCATTAATCAGAAGCTTTTATTTTGAAATCAATTCGTAATAGGTTATATAATCATATTTAACAGCATAATCCATGATCCAATTGTAATGTCCCTCCGCCAAAATTGAAATCACACACTTTCAATAATACCTAACACAGGGTATTCTGTTACCTTGTGTATACTGGTATTTAACATTTTAATGACTTTCGGTGAATCGCAAGACACAAAATGCTCTGAAACGGAGATGACTGAAATATATTTTCATCAGTCAGGCTCAGTTTGTATACTTTATGTAACGTCAATGTTGAAAGCGACACTCTTTTGAAAGGATAGTATCGCTTGAATCTGTCTGTGCGAAAGCGATAAGAAACTGCTTCGTGAGAAACAAGCTGCTGCATCAACATAAAGTGTCTTTAGCTCGCTTTTATACCCTGTGTTAAAGTAATAAGAGGCTTACCTTCAGGTAACGTCTCCACTTTTAATCGAGGCGGTCTTTTCGGGCTGGGCTTCCTTCTTCCGGTTTGGGATGTTGACGCGCATGCTGATTGGCTGCTCCCAACCGAGACACTAACCGGAAAGACCTCCCACTCTGAGCACACACAGCTGGAGTGGTAACAGATGCGCCAGAAATGCTGTACTGGTGTGGTGTAACTGTAGAATGCAAAAACTAATAGAAAATTCCACATTCCCAGAAATTTTAACAAGAACAGGGCCAGAGCAGGGCGGCTGTGACTCAGAGGCAGAGCGGGTCGTCCTGCCTCGGAAGGTTGTCGGATCGATCCCCGGCTCCTGCCGTCACATGTCGAGGTATCCTTGAGCAAGATACTGAACCCTGAATTGGTGTATGAATGTGTATGAATGTTAGTTTCTGTTCGATGGACTTTGCCATCACTGAGTGAATGTGTGTGAAAGGGTGAATGTGGCACGTAGTGTAAAAGTGCTTTGAGTGGTCGGAAGACTAGAAAGGAGATATACAAGTACAGGTCCATTTACCGTTTACCTCAATGTGCTCAGTGGCCGTAAAGGCTCTGTGTACAGTGAAAACGGATTTGCTATTCAACATAAATAAGATTTAACTTGCAAAGTCCTGCCTCTAGGTCAGAACCTCAGTGACCTTTCTCTTTTCCTGTTTTTAGATATGCTATGAAAGAGGCTCGACTAAGACAACCACATTTTGAAGATCGTAAAAGATAAAAGTGACATATATATACAGTATATATATATATATATACTGTATATATATATATATATATATATACACACACATAGTCACATCTCAGAGAGCCGAAAAACAGCGGTTCCTAAATTCAGGTAATTATTCACTATTGAAAACATACCTATGAATATTATATTCCATTTTTGCCAATACAAAAAAAATTTGTAAGCAAAACACTAGCTACTTAGCTAGTTAGTTAGCGTTTTGCTACAGAGCCAAGCACTAGCTAATCTGCATCAATTTCTTTCTAAATAGTTACATCTGAAAACTAGCTAATTTACATCAATAGTTAGTTAGCTAGTTAGCTAACATTTTGCTAAACTTTTATCTTTTTAACCATCTTCAAAATGTATATTATGTAATATAGAAGTAGGAGGAAATCGTTGGTTCTGACCGAGGCTTACTCAACTGTTATTGGAGCACAGAACAAAAAGGGGCGGAACTTATATCAAGAGTTTTGTCAATGGGAAAATGGCCACTATGGCATATTTGATGTGATGTAGTTTCTTGTTAGCGGGGTCAAAGTGAATATTTCCCATGTTTTAATTGCTGATCATTCATTGTACTTTTTACATCCACATATCTAAACGGGTTGGCTCCAAAGTTTCTTTCACTGTTTTGACTCAAACTGCACCTACAGATGTAAAGAACAAAAAAGCTAATCACTTTTAATATTTTGAATTAGATTCAATTTGGACTTTAAAATGAACTTCTGTTCTGTTTTTACCATGTTTATGTATGACTAATATATCATTTTTGTAAATAAAGAACATTGGAAAAAATATCCTGTTAACATTTATTCTCCTAATTTTAAAATGAATAAACAAATAAACATAATACATTAACATGTGAAATAGAAGAGTGTAACTTTTTGTTGAATTATTATTGCTCCCTCAGACAAATACAGACAAATGACCTACTTTGTGATTAGTGATCTTTCAAACCTTATGATTGTACTATAATAAGGTATATCTGGTGTGTCAATATTATTCCAGTGTTTAAAATTTTACTTGTTTGAAAATGTCTCTCACCATGGGCAGATTCACCTCTTATGGGGCCACAGGGCACAAAATGAGATCCTAATCAACTACCAATTTAACCCCTTCACCTCACTCTTTGTGAGGTGTGCAGTTTTTCTATGCTTTGCTGTGTGGTTGATTGATGGACTTATATTTATACAGCAATTTCTGGTTTACTGACCACTCAAAGCTTATAACCACACTTCAGTCAGGACCACTTTTGTTAAAATAACTTTTATTCTAAAGCAGAATGTGACATTTGGCGGTATGCCTTTGTTCTGTGACCTCCTTGTCCTTCCACGTGCCTACGTGGAAAACCTTAAGGCAGGGAGAGCACACTTCTCTGTCCTTCCATGTGCATACATGGAAAAGTTTAAGACAAGCAGAGACCCCCCAGGGAACAGAACAGAGCAAGCATCAATGCTATCAGAAAGTGACATTGATTAATTAGATACAACATAAAAAGGAGGAGCTGGGGTGGAGGTGTGTTGCAAAACGGCTTGTAGAGGAAGCAGCAAAGATAGGCAGGCTAAAGCAGCTTAAATAAGGCGCCATGAATGATATTTGCCAATTGGATGCTTGAGCCATCAGCCGATGTGTGTTTATGATTAGCTGTGATCAGCTGATATAGCTGGAGTTGAGAGCTGAGGCTATGCTTAATTTGTCAAACTCATTCTGACTCACTGATGGCAGAGGCTGCCATGCAAGGTGCCAACCTGATCATCTGGAATGATCCTATCCAAACCGCTCATGATGATACTAAGCTAATACAAACACTCTGACAGCACAATAGTATGGAGCAATTTGGGGTTTGTTGTCTTGCCCAAGGACGCTTTGACTGAACTGAGGGAGCCGAGAATCAAACCAGTGACCCTCTGATATCTAGACCACCTGCTTCAGCACATGCACCACAGTAGAAACATACAAGCACAAAACTGAAATGATGAGATTTGGGCCTTCTTTAAGATTTGTCCTCAAGATCAGCCATTCAGGCTGCAGCCTTTCCTGTAGTACTTTAATGTGTATCCCTCCTATGAGATTACAGTACCATCAGTGGCCCCAAGACAATTTGAGTTTGAGACCACTGCTTTAAGGAATAAAAGTAAATGCTTTTTGTCAGACATTAAAATGGTTGAGTGAACTTTTGGTAGTTTATTTTATAAAAATGTTTTATCTGACTTACTCTCAAACCTTCAATAGATTTGGCTGTGGATGTGTAGAGTTTACATAAAGATACAAGTGAACTGACAACAAATGGTGAGAGGTTCAGTATTGGTTGATATTGAGAGTGGCTCCAGAAGAAAGCGCAGCTCAGCAGTTTGCAGCTCATTATGAGATAAAAGTGATGCCCCTTAGTAATCAGCACGTGACGCAGGAGGCTATAGCATGAAATCTGCAAGGACTTTCAAGTGAAAAAATAGGATGCATTTTTCTGGAGTATATCCCAGGCTGTAGCTCATATTGCCTGCAGCTCCACAGAGCAACGAGAACACTGACATCTAGTGCTGCAAGACAGGACGCAAGTCAGGAGGGGGATTACTGGAAAACCAACAACTAAGCATCATGAGGTGGTAGCTGCCAGCACTAAGAAATGCCTGGCCACCCTAGTTTGGTGTCAAATGCTGTCAAATTGAATACATTAATTTAAAAATAGTGTGTTAAATTAATTGAATGATCTATTATGGCCACATATTAAACTAACTGATAAGCTTAAAGCTGCAGTTGGTAACTTTTATAAAAATCACTTTTTGTCATATTTGCTGAAACTTTCATATCCTGACAGTAATACATAAAACAGATAATCTGTTAAAAATGTTTGCTTCCTAGTGCTTAATGGCTTTTGCAAGAATCCACCAGGCCTGGATGAAAACAACCAATCAAAGCTAAGAAAAAGATTATCTGTCTCATGTACTACTGTCAGGATATAGTGAAAGTTTAAGACAATATGACAAACATTATTTTATAAAAATTGCCTATTGTAGCTTTAAATTCAATGAAAAAAGAAGCATTTGGAAAAATGTCTGAAGATTTAAAAATAAGACAATTTATTGATTTCTAACGGCAGCTCCAGATATTTCTATTCAGTGCTTTATTAATGTGCCACTATTATGTTTTTGTGTTTAAATATCTTCACTTGATGGCTTTTCCAAGCAAATATTGATATATGTGATTATTTGTGATTAAATCAGCAGATATTTCTGACACTTCTTAAAGTCTCCATGCCACCCTCTGGACACCTCATGAATATTTCTCTAGATCCGCCCCCATGTGGATGTTCTAATCTATATTGAATGTGATAGTGGGGCTGCTCTTTGCTGCACATGTGGATCACAGATAAACAACTGTGACTATTCTAAGAAAAAATAATTATTGGATTTATTTTACTGTTTTACTATTGAAAAGATATTATTAAGACCTTTTGATTTTCTGGTCAGGATTTGTGAAATTTATTCAATAATAACCCCTCAAGGAAGAATATGGGCATACTGTAATAATATAGGGGGGAAATGTATATGTATAAAAATATATATGGGACAAGGAATTAAAAATAAAATCCTAGTCTTAAAAAATCTGTAGTTATTACACTGAGGATTACGTATCACCAATCCGGTAGCTCCATGGTCCTGAAGCAGAGTGTAAATATAACATAAACATTCTTTCACAAAATACATTTTACAAATTTGACTTCCATTTTAATCAGTAATTATATTTTATATTATACATACAGTATATCATTGCAAAGCAATGCTTTGCAAAAAAGGGTGTTATTGCCTTTTTTCAAAAAATCTTTAAATCCTCTAGTAAGAGTAAGAGGGACTTACAAAATTACACTAATAAAATCAGGACAAGTGACTATTTCAAAAGGTCTATGACAGTGACAGACCTGATGGGTTATGGCACAAGTACATGATCAATATCACAAGGTAAATAGTTTTTCTATTGGGTTTTTTTTATTTATTTACTTTTGTGCATAAACAACATATTCACTGAGCCACTAGTCAAGTCAACATACAAAGACACAAAGTCATGTCAGTGGAAACCATGATACCAGCCTTGTGTGACAAGCTCCTTATAAACATCCACTTGCACAAGACATAACATTATGTTGTATATTGCAGAAAAAGAGGCTCCTTTCACCTATGAATTTTCACATACGAAATAAAGAATTAGGATGGGAAATCATTACATGTGACAACAATATCACATGTGAACGTGCAATTTGATCTGCCATCCATCACACAGAGGAAGACTGAGGTGAGGATGTTCAGTTGCTGGGTGATTAAAATTTCATGTGATTAA